TAAGTAATAAGTTATTTTTCTCGATGTCATTATTTTCATAATATACGATTGAATTCTCATTGCCGTACTTACGAGGTCCACCTATCCGTTATGACTCGTAATTCAAATAATCTATAGTTACCTAAGTGGACCATAAAGTAATCGCTGCAACAAAAATGATGGTATTCAATGTTAATGTACGGATAATGTATTGTTTGCCATATGTGACGAAATGTCTGAAACAATTCATAAAATTACAGCAATTTCTAAATAAACTTAAATACAAAGTTTAATGTGCTATTAACCAGGATCAACATTACAAAACTATCTTCCACACATATTCGTGAAGAAGAGGAGCAATGTGCAGTTCCAACTTACGAATTGCTCTCAAATGTCTGAAACATAACAGTATCGTCTGTATGAGTTAGGCAAAGAATTAGATGTCTGGAACGTCGGCCAAGAAGCCAAGGGATGACTCGGGGAAGTCGTGGCGCTGCTATTCGTCTAAGTGCTCCAACACCCTTTGCATGCACTTGAGGTTACTTCGCTGGGATATGCGTGCACGCAACCTTGCATTTTCTGCAACCAAGAATTCGAACTCCATGGACTCTGCAATGAATAAGAAGATAAAATCAGCTAATCACATGTCATAAATGTCGAAGCCAATACAAACGGATACGAACAAATAGTAATCAACATATGTATGTCAATCATATAACGACATGAAACTACTAACACAATGCAACATGAACAATTTGTAAAAGGACATGTGACGAAGATTTAACAAGAAATAGAACATATCTGCTTCACATTATTTCATAAGGCAGCCATCTGTAGAGAATTACTGCATCCAACTGTCGGGATCGACAGTTGACCTGTACCAAATTTACTCAACTGTCGAGAATGTCTGAGGCTAACTGTCGGGAACGATAGTTCGCCTATCCCTATTTTACCCAACTGTTGAGAATGATCGGGACGACAGAACACATGTTCACAAGTCACCCATATGCAGATAATTTTCTGAGGTAAACTATTGCATACAAAGTGTTGACACATACCAACATGGTAGAAGGTTTACAAGCAAGTAGGATTTACATTCAAAACCCCTAATTTAAAATCTAATATCTCTTGAAGCAACATAACAATTAAGCTAGAAATAAAATTTAATTAATTAATTCATTAATACAACATCAAAATGTAAAAGATGAAAATGAATGATACTGAACTTTGATTAATTAATTCATCAATACAACATCAAAATCTAGCAGAAT